TGGTCATAGGGGGAACATCAAGAAATGGCAGAATGTGTGCTTCCCCACGACACACCAAATAACCTCAAACTTACCTAAGTTTAGCTGAGTTATCCCCAACCAATTACTCCTGCCTCATAACCCCTCTTTATCCAAATGTGAACCTACCCAAAGATTTATAGCTGTAAGAGTCTCCACCTATTCAGCCAGGGGGCAGGGCAAGGGTTCTGTCACTAGCTCCAACTTACATCCAGAATGTCTAGTCTGAAATGTTTGTCTCCTCATACCCAAGCTGCAGTTTAACCCAGGGACAGGCAGTCTGCACTCCTGTGGTCTGAGTGGGCAGGTGGGTACTGAGGGAGCTGAGTTCTTTGCTTCCCTCCTCTCAACATCATGAGTCCTGAACAGTGAGCTGATATGAGCTTCTCTGAGCAACCAAATTCCCACCTTCTCTTCCCAGATTCAAAGCACTGGCCTCTCCTCAGGGGGCATCCCTCCTGCTTGACTTCGATTTTTAAGAGAATAGTGTGATTTGGGATTTTGGTAGAACTGAATTCCTTTAGAATGAGTAGAGGCTGTGGGCCACTCCACCTATTTATCCCCTCAATTGTAGGGGTTTCAAAGAACACTCTTTCCCACTCCTGCCTGTGGCACCCAACACCCCATGGTTGTTCCTCATCCAACTCTATCATGCCCTAAAACCAAAGCCTCAGCCACTCTCTCAATCAACCTGTCCCACGCAGTGCCGAAAAAGGTGGGCAGTCTTGGGGGAAGAAAAGTCCAGGGCTTAGGGGACCCCAAATATAGTCTCCTTTGTGCTCATGTAGAATAATGCTAGTACCAATGAAAGGATTCCAGTAAGGCTGGGCTCTGCTCCTCCACATCAGCTCCTCTGCACAAAATGCAGAAGCAGTTTTTAAACTATGAAATGCAGAAGGGAAGCAGAAGGGCTAGGAGCTGCACTGAGCCTCAAGTCCTTGAGGAAATGACATCCTCTCCTGAGGTTAGGCCTGGTTTAAGTGCTTTGTTAGAAATTAAAAAAAAAAAAAAAAGGAAGAAAAAAACCTGGTTAATGCTCTGGGCTCAAAGGAAAACTTGGGGGAGAGATGAGGCACAGTGGTTAAGACAGTAGTTTTAAGTCTTTGCAAGGCTGATGCATTCAGATCACTAAGGAATCATAGCTTGCAGTTTGCTAGGAGCACAGCACTGTGAGTCCTATTTCTATAAGCCCCCCCATCTGAAGAAACCAGTTACAAACAACTGTGTTAAGACACTAGTGCAGCGTGACAGAAAGGGCCAAGGCCAGCCAGGGGACACTTCTCCATAGGAGAGAATGGAGACCAATCTTCTATCTCTAATAACCTTTGGACTTTTTAAGTCAACAGGAACTAAAGTGGGGTCAGTGGCTTCCAGAACATTTGAGGTGGAGGAGAATAAGAAGGGCCTTAATTAATCACAGTTAAAGGGTATAAACCGAAGGTACCCATATTGTAGAGAGTACAAACCATACTTCATCTACCAATTACCCCCAGAACTCTTCCACCAAACTACCACCCTCCACACCCTCCCCACAACTAAAAAGCACAAGCCACAGGGAAGTTTAGAAACCATTCCTTTCTTTATTAAACATAGCTTGCAAGTGATAAATATTACAAAGTTTTTTTTCTTTTAATCCTTTCTCCAAAAATTAGCTTATTATTTGAATCTGTCACTGCTGAAATGCTCAGCAGCATCTGAAACAGATGGGAGTGTATTTGTCTTTTTGAAAACCAGTTTCTATTGGTCTTAGTTTTTTCATTTTATTTCCCGAACACAATGCAGAAAATTAGAATGAGTTAAAAAAGAAAAGGAAAAAAAAAAAAAAGGAAACTTAAAAAGAGTTGTGCAAAAGGGTCTTGTTCCCCTCCCACCCACCCTAGTCAGGGAAGGCCATTCCCCATCCCACCTCCCTGTGCCCCACCCCACCCCAATCTATCCTTCCACCTTCACCAAGGCCTCACCCATCATCCTGTGTCCTCTCCAGGCTTTGCCAGCCAAGAACCTAAAGAGAGTGGGAATACTCAGCCAGGCTATGGGGAAATAAATTGGGTCCCTTAAGAAGACAATCGGTGAAATAGCTACCTTTAGGGGATTCTGATGAGCAAAGGAAAGATGTGGATTACATGTGAGTTCTCCTCTTTTGTCACCAAGATGAGGGAAGTTCTACATCCTATAGCTCACAAAAGTAGTAACTAGACCACCAACCTGGGGTGTTCATTGGTCAACCACCTTTATGGGCTCTGTGGCTGGTTGTGAGGTGGGGCATAGGGTCTGGTCCCTGCCTTTAGATGGCTAGAAAAATAAGGGCAAAGATGTCACTGTCTAACTGACATCCTAGACATACCACTGCCGTCTCTCCCAAATCAAGGTTAAAGTAGGGGATTTGCAGTTCTCCAAAGGCACTGTAACATAAGTAACCACTTTACTAGTCACTTTCATTTCTTCCCTGTTTTTTCAGCCTAACACTCCCCTCAGATCAAGCTGTTTGTTTTTGTTTTTGGTAGGGGAGGAAGGAAACAGAATTTTGAAGTTAGTGGCCAGATGATTTTCCCCCTTACTTCACAGATTAAAAAAAATTGAGACCCAGAAAAGTGACTCTACCCAAGATCACATAGCAAGTCAGTAGGTGAACCCAGGTCTCCAGAATGTACCTCCCTTTTTACTGGTGGTAGTTGTGTTCTCCACAGTCCTGGACCAGGAGCCCTGGCCTTCAAAGGATCCCAGTCTCACCTCTATTCAGGCAGCCTACCACTGTGCAGGTGGATGTGGTTCTCTTTAGGTGAAACTTCCTTAGGATGACTTATTAAAATCCCTTCTACCGTCCCCTGACAATCCACCCTTAAAGGTTAATGAAACTAGGCTCTTTCTTGGGTTAGGGTGGGGGGAAATCCCTTGCATAAGAAAGCTTGACACTGAATTTTGTTATATAGGTATATTGTATATATGCTGATGCAATCAGAGGGAAAAAAAACAGTGCAAATACAATTACAATTCATTAATAATACTTGGTTTCAATGCCCCCGGGAACTGCCACATTCCTCGGCTACCTCCCAATCCCCCGGCACTTCCCCACAGTATCATCCTAATGCTGGGGGGGGGCGGGTAGGGAGGGTGGGCAGGTTAGGGTAGGGAGTGGGCTCTGCCAAGGCAGTGCTGGTGACCCGGAGGGACTACTCCAGGGTGGGGAGGCAAGGCACAAATTAGGGGTGGGTGGTGGGGGAGGTGGCATCTCTAAAGAGGGATAGGGTTGGAGCAGCTGCCAGTCTCAGAATGCTGGGCCCAGCCCACTCCTCAACCCACCCTCCACAGCCCTGCCTCCCTACCCCCTCCCTTTCCCCAGAAACCCTTTTGCACGGATCATACACAAACGGGCACATTACAAAATGACATAACACAGTTTCACAATATCCATGGCTAGGGCTTTTTTTTCTCTTTTTTCAGGTTTTTTTTTTTTCTACACAATGTACAATTCCTTTTAAATGGATCAAGAAATAGCTTATATACATGAATGAGTCCTTGTTATAACATCTCGGCAGCAAATATCATAAGCTAATGAAGATCTTGATGGAAGGGAAGGGAGCCTAGGACTGGGGTGGGGGCAGGGGGTATGGAAAGAAGGTTATGCCTTCTGGAGGAATGGGGGGAGAAGGAACAAAAGTAAAATATCAAGAAGCATCTTTACAAAGCAGTTCTATAGCTAATTCCTTTTAAAGGGGAAAGGAAAGGTAACCAAAGCAGAAAAACATTTATCTCTGTGTCTTTAAGAAAAAAAATTGTCTACCATACATATATCCAAAAATGTGGGGAAAATACTTATTCCAAAGATGGAGAGAGTTCAGATGCTGTGGTCAAGTGACAAAATAAAGCTGACAGATAAAGACCTCTGTCCCCCTAGTTTTACCCAAGCCTTATCACTAATCCACTCATTTCAGGTTTCTATGGAGTAAGACACCATCCATGAATGATTGCTTTTAGTGCCTCTGGGTCTGGAGGAAGCCAAGCAAACCTGTTGGGATCCTCACTCTGTTAATACCTTCAGATTCAGGGCGCCAGTAAAATAAATCTCTGAACAAGGGTCTTTCCGCCTATCTTTAGGGCATGAGGGTTAGTGTCTATAGGGCCCAAGGCCAGGGAATGATAGTAACAACAGACTTGAAGGGACACAAGGCAATCAGTGATGAAAAAGCTGAAACTTGAAGAGAGAAGGATGGTAGAGGGAGGGAAGGGAGAAGGTGGAGGCTAATACTTTACCATGATTAAGGAGAACTTACCCCCATCACAAATCCCTGGGAAAGGTATGAAGATGGGGAGAAGAGAAGAAATCAAACCTCAGCAATTAAGAAAAGGGTCATGGAACTATATTAGTTAATAAGCAGCTTCTATGTAATTGACCCAGAAGGATTAAAAACAGGGAAGATTCTACCCTCTCCCCTGTGGCCTCAGCACCTAAGCAGGAACTGAGCTATGGGCTTTCCTTCACCACCATTCCCCATCTCTACACATTTTACTTCCAAACCCCACTCAAGGTGGCCTGGCTCCCAGGGAAGGGATTTAGCTCAGGGCAGGGACAGCCCCCAGCCAGACGGTATTGCACATTCTCTGTTCCTTACTTTTAATCTCAACTGACAAACTTGGGCACCTTGTACCTCTGAGCACCTCTGAGCTGGGGATCAGGGAGACAACAGAAATGGCACTTCATGGGGGGGGGCGGGGGGAGGGATAAGGAAGGCTAGACAGACATGCCACAAGGCAAGATGACTTGTAGGAAAAACATAAAAAAAAGAGCTTCCAATTTTGTGGAAGAGAGAAAAGCAAAACCAAACAATTTATCCAGTGCTTTCAAAGCACAGAGGGCAAACAAAAGATGTAAGAATATATCTTTATATATATATATTTATATATATATATAAAATTTTAAAATAATCACAGACCCAGTTCCATTAAACCCCCCCTCCCTCTCCCACCACTTACACTCAGGGGTACCACACTCCCCCCACCCCAAATACTCGAAACAACCCGATCACACTACTTGTTACTAGTGTCTAGCTCCCAGATCATTTCACCACTTGGGGAGCCCAGACACTGGCTGCATCTCTGCTCCTTATTAAGTGCTCAATGAATATGGAGGATGGGAGGAAAGAAAACAAGCCAGGAAGGCCCGTAGGGCCAGTATAATCACCCACAGTGGCACTGGGGTATGGGGAACAGAGGCCAGAGTAGGGGAACTGAGCTCCTTTTCCCATCTCACCCCAAATTTTATAGGGAAGATGTGCAGTTTGTGTGTATTAATTTTAAAAGTGCCTTATTTTAAAAAAAATTATTTAATTTTTAAAAATAAAAATTAGGAGACTTCCTCAGGTGACTTTCAAGGGCAAAATATTACACAACTCCTCATATCTCTCTACTAAGAGAATCCCCAGTGCATCCTGGCAGCTTCTAGAGCTGTAGAGGCAGGTACGTGTATATACTACGAGGAGAGCAGAAACCTTTTCCTTTTAGGGGCTTCCCTTACCTCAAAAACAGCCTGGTCCCCCTCTTCTTTCCCCCATGGTGTGGGCAAATGGGATGCTAATCTCCCTAATCCCCAGATAGTAACATTGCACAATTCAATTCATTCTCTACATTAGTAGCACTGAAAGAAAAAAAAACAAAAACAAAAACAACTCTGGGAGGGAGGGAGTAGGGAAGACAACAATTGTGTAGCAGAGGACCAAAGTGGGTTTTACATGAGTTGTTTGGCTTTGAGCAGTTGGTTCTGCAGTCAGTGCAGCAGAGTCAGGGAAGAAGTGCAACCTGTTAGGGGCCCTTACTCTCATCTCCTGGCACACAGAGGGCAAAGGGATAGACAAACATAAGAATCTCAACTGTTGGGAGAGAAATCTCTTGTTCTCTAAGTCTATTTCCTTGTTTTGTCATTTGATTCACTCATGCCTATTCCAACTTCTAGGATACCCAGCAAACTTCAGCCTGGGAACAGCTAATCCTGTATATAACAAATGGGGCTGTAGTTAGAAGAGGAAGGGTAGGAAAGGGGGTGAGGGTGGGATGGGGAACAATTTTACAAAGAAAATAAGACGAAATAATCTTGGGTTAATTGGCCTGGAATGTACTTCTGTGCCCCCACTGGGCTCAGGAGACCAATCTTATTTCCCCAGCATCTAGAAGGCCAGGGAAGTCTCGGACTTGGTCTTAGTACTCCTTGGCTCACCATTCTTTTTGTTATGATACCTCTTTCCCACTCTTCCATGGGTAAAAAAACTCCAGGGTAGTTGTTTTAAAGCTTCTCCCTCCAGGCTCTCTCCCCTCATTCTTAGAGATCAACTCAATACTAAAATACTGCTTCCCGAACTGCTTGGCCACAAAACATACACACCTAGGATGCTGCTCCTCCTAGTTTGATGTCACCCACCCTACAACTCTGTTTAAGTGGGTCCCTAACACTCTGTTATGTCCTACTCAGCAGCTGAGGACCCTACTGCAATCTGCAATGCTCCTATCATTGAACTGAATGTCATTTGAGTTTATTAAAGAATTAAAAAAAGGAAGGGAGGAAGAAGGAAGGAAAGAAAGAAGGAAAGAAGGGAGGGAGGGAAGTAAGGGAGGGAGGGAAGAAAGAAAATGAAAAAAAAACTGAGGGGAGAGGTTTAACCGTTCACTGAACAAAGGGAGGACACACAATATAATTAAAATGATAATAATTATAGCATAAAACAAACTTTAGAAACACAGGTCAGAGAGCTTAAATTCTCCCCAGGATCTCCTTCTGACCTCTATCAGAGGCAAAGATCCACCTCACTTAAGAAAATTGAAGAAAGAAGACAGAGTGGCAGGAGAACAGATTGCAGCAGTGTAAAATAAAGGGGAGGTGATAGGGCAGGGCGTGTGTTTTCTTGTTGATTTCTATTTTTTTGTCTTCTGTTTTTTCAGTTTTGCTTTCCGTGTATGGTAGGCACCAGTACAGGCACTGCATGCGACGGAAGTTGGGGGCAACTGGAGAGGAAAGGGGTAAAAGGATTCAAGGTTGGGCAGTACAAGTGGATCAGGCGTTATTTCTGTCCACTAATGGACTGCGATATAGACCGGGGAGGGATCATGTCTAATAGGTATTCACGCTGTCGGTCTGCCAAACTGGGGGCTTTGTGTCCTCCGATGCCAGTGTTCAAGTATGCAATGTTGACACCTAGACCCAGGAGACAAAAGTGGAGGGCAGGTATTAAAAGAGGAAATGATACTGCCTTCTGAACTACCCTGGAATGGCAGAGTTGGAGATGGGGAGGAAACATTAAGTTGCCTGCCTCTGTCCAGACTTAGTTAGTAAGTACCTTCTTACTCTCAAAAGTTTAAGGAAAAGAGTTCTTCCTCAAATTTCAATGCAATCAGGAATGATGGACACTGTCCTGATGGTATAGGAGAGACAGGTTAAACAGTGGTGACAGAACAATGATAAAAGACAAAAATAGAAATCAATGAATCTGCTGCAATTTTGGGGCCACTGAATGTACAGAAGTATCCCTGGATCATTTAAACCGGACAGTTGACTCTGCTGAGCTAGTCAAAAGCAATCAATAACCACAAATTCAATGAAGACACATTAGTCTGTAAATGTATAATTTAATGGCAGGGACTGTAATTTTCACCACCAAAATCCGATTATACTTTAGCTAGTATCTAATATGATTCAGCAAACATTTGTTGACTAATGAGAGTGAGCCCAATGGAGGCTAGGAGCATGGCTCAAGTGGGAGAATACCTGCTTATCAAGCACAAGATCCTAAGTTCAAATCCAATTTCTGCCCCACGTCATCCTCCCCACACCTCCCAAAAAAAGCCCTATAAAAGAAAAGAAAGCAAAGGAAAGAACAATTTGCCTAAAGGGGCTGCTTAAAGAATTGTGTACTACTAGCTGGAGATGATGATGTGTAATTCCAGCTATTCAGGAAGTATAGGTAGGAGGACTGAGGTCCAAGACAGGGCCCAGGCAAAAACCACAGGGGAAGTGGCTTAAGTGGGAGAGTGCCTTTCTAGCAAATGCAAGGTCCTGAGTGCAAACCTCAGTATGACCAAAAACACACAAAAAAATAAAAAAATAAAGAATTGTGCACTAATCAGTTGATTGCTAAGCAAAGCTCTCAGATCAATCCCTCTTACCTGGCATACCAAGGAGGCCACCTGGCACAGACAATTGGGGTGCCTGTGCAAAATTTGAAAGCATGGAGCGGGCAGATGTGGGTATACCACGCTGGAGGCTGCTCTGGGGTTGTGGAGCCTGCAATAATAAGGAGACAATTGATACAATTTTGCAGTGGTGGAAAGTTAAGTAGAAGTAGAAAGATACTGGAGTACAGAAGAGTATATGGTTTCCTGCAAAAGGATACATTGGGATAAATGGATGACTACCCCTCAAGAGAAATCAGGGTCAGGAGGAGGTTCCTCACCTGCCGAAGTGTATGATGTCTCATGATAGTCTCTTGTTTACTGACACTGGACACAGCTGGAGCCGTAGTAGGGGAGAGGGCTGCCTGCTGCTGTAATCGCTGTTCAATTTCCTGTGGAGAGTCATCAAAAATCAGGTTGGGCAGGAGGACACAACCCAATTTCCTAACCAGAAAACATAAGTGTATTATCTCTAACGATGCCATCTAGTCAGAGGAATATGACAAAGCAAAAAGAGTTTGGTGGGATAGCTACATTGACGTATCTGGGTATATGTCAATATGCTCCACTGATTAAAGGGACTTCCTTCTTTCTGTACAGAAAGAGCTCCTGAAAAATGACTGGAGAAAAATGGGGGTGGTGATGAATTGACTGATATAATTAAGGCTGATGAATTACTAGGTTTTTACTTTTGACTCCTGTCTATTTTCCAAAAGGTTCATGATGCTACCCAAAAGATGGGTGGTAGAGTAAGAAATGGGATAGAGAAAAGGATCTGAGGATGGTAGGCAGAGGAAGGAGGATTGTCAGCTTGAGGCAAAGTTAGCCAGTCCCTATCTCAAAAAACAAAATACAAACAAAAGGGCTGACAGCATAGCTCAAGTGGTAGGGCCCTTACTTTGTATGCAGGAGACCCTGGGTTTAATCCTCAATACCACTAAATAAGAGAAACGGATTCTGATTCTGAGCTTCCTAACATTTTCCCCCCTCAAAGATATTCTGATTCTATAATTCCATAGGAAATGTTCACACACTCTAGTACTACTAAATATTTGCTGGGTCACTTTTTTCCTTTGTGGTACGAGGGTTTGAACTCAGGGCTTCATGCTTGCTAGGCAGGTGCTCTGCTTGAGTCACTCTGCCAGCCCTTTTTTTGTTTGTTGGGTATTTTCAAGATAAGGTCTTGCTAACTATTTGCCTGGGGCTGGCTTCGAACCTCGATCTTCCTGATCTCTGCCTCCTGAGTAGCAAGGATTACAGGCGTGAACCACCAGCACCTGGCTTTACAGTGCCACTTTCTAATCTACTATTTTGTCAAGTGTGGGCCACAGACAATTGCTTCTCTCAAAGAGATTTCCAGCACAAATACAAATATTTCATATCCAAATCCATCTGTTTGAGAAAATGAAGTCAAGAATAAAGGAATTTCTTTAGTGCTATTGAAAAACCAAGACTCTCAAGCCTTCTTTCTGTCCTTCTCCCTTAACCTCAGCCATATATGTTACTGTATTATTATATTCTTTCTTAATCAGAAATAGTCAAATGAAAATAAGAAAGACAGAATGATGGGGGAGGGGTAAGTAGATGGAATCTAGACCAAAGAGTCTTTGAGAATCACAAGGATAACTCCTCCAAACTAGAAGCAAACTTTTGGGAAAGCCAAACCTGTACAGATGGCTGTGGAGTAAAAGTCAGAATTCTTACCTGTTCTTGCTGTAGGGCTTTAACAAAAGCGTTTTTCAGTCGATTGGTGTGTTCAGCTTTTAGAGCCTTCTTCTGGTTGGAGGTCATACACTGTTCACACAGAATCTTACCATTCTTTTCTTGTTTCCAGTGAGGGGTGAAATCTGTGCGGCACTGGGCACATACAAAGGGTTCGACCCGCAGAAGTGAGGCACAGCTTTTGCCTAGATAGCAAGAAAAGTAATAATCAGGGGCTTCACATTTCCTATCTCCTTTGTTTCTCCTTCATTGACTAGATCTTTTCCATAAGTTTATTCTGAATTAAAAAAGATACTCTACAAAAAAGAATGTAACTTACAAAATACATTTCACTTGATTGTTGTATCACTTTAGGGAATTCAGATAGTACCACTGTCATTTACAAACAAGAAAACTACTAAGTTTAAGAAACACAGTTCCTTTCTTGAGATACTCAGGCTTGAACTCAGGGCCATGCACTTGCTAGGCAGGCGCTCTACCCCTTGAGCTATTCTGCCAGCCCTTGGTTTGTTTTTTTGAGGCAGGGTTTTGCCATGTAGCCCAGGCTGGCCTAAAGCTCATGATTCTCTTGCCTCAGCTTCTCAAGTAGCAGGGATTAAAGGCATGTACCACCATGCCTAGCATTAAACATTAACTGACAAAGCAGGGAAAAGAATCCATGTTTTGAAAACACTGTGCCAATTCAGAGTCAAAGGATTCTATTTAACTTAGCCAATACTTTTGCTTCTTAGATCTCCTTACCTTATATTGAACTTATTCCTGTTATATACATTTACATTATTGATTTATTTATGCAGTACTGGGGTTTGAACTCAGGTCCTTCACCTTGAGCCACTCCACCAGCCCAATTTTTTTGTGATAGAGTTTTTCGAGATAGGGTCTCATGAACTATTTGCCCGGGGGTGGCTTCAAACTGCAATCCTCCTGATCGCTGCCTCCTGAGTAGCTAGGATTACAGGTGTGAACCACCGGTGCCCAGCTACATTTACATTTTTTTAGTTATCAGTGTCCATATTAGTCATTTTGTGATTTGTTTGCAGCTAATTATGAGTCCTGTAGGCACTTTCCTCTAAGGTATTCCCATAAATCCACATCTGGAAATTGGTAAGTCTGAGATTGTACTGGTAAAGTATGGTATAAGAGTTTGGTTCAACTTTGTTATCTACATCAGTATATACAGTTCTTTAACGTGAAGCATTCAAAGGGCAGCAACTATAATAATTCAGCACAAGGTCACATAAATAGAAGTTCTATTCATTAAATTATGCATGTAACATGCTTGGTACCTTCTTTTCTTTTCTTTTTAAAATGTGGTGCTGAGGATCAAACCCAGAATGTGGTACATGCTAAGCAAGTGCTCTAACATTGAGCTGAACTCCTAGCCCAACTAGGCACCATTTAAAAGAACTACACAATACACCAAAAAAATTACACAAAATGGAGCACACACACACGCAATCACACAGCTCCACCTATATGTTGTTCCCAAACAACCTGTATAAATAAGCGATGGAATGTAGGTGGTTTGGCAATAAGGAGCAGTTATTGAATATTGCACAATGACCTGTGATACGCTGCCTATGCCAATTAGGCTTGGCAACTTCCTGTTTAAATAAAAGAGACTGACTAGAAAAAGTCTTACCTTGGCTGTCAATGACACTCTGTACAACTTCTTCCAAGCCTACCATGTAGATGAACTCGCTATTGGCTGCACTAGGCAGGAAGTGAAGCAAGGGAGCAGGAGGTTTTGGAGGTGGGATCTCCAGGAGTGTCTTTTCCAGTTGTTTCCGAAGGGCCAATTTGGCTGCAGCCTGTGAGTTGGCAGCATCGGTCATGGCGCTGGGGCTAGGAAGTGGAGAAGACACTCTGTTCACAGTTCCTGGCTGGATATGGGAGGCAAGGTTCATATAGATGGCAGAGGATGTTGTACGTTGACAGGGAACAGAAGAACTTGACTGCTGAAAGAGATTGGGAATAACATCAGTGATGGCTGGTATGTGGAAGACAACCAATTATTGCTTTTTTTGGCAGAGGACACCATCTGATCCTAATATGGACAATATAGCTTCTTCAAAATAGGAAGTATCCAACTTATCAATTAAAAGGGAATTTTGGTACACAGGAAAAACAATGATGGAACCTATAAACTAAAACTGCTGGGAGGAAAAAAAAAAAAAAGATTGGGGATGCTTTCTCTATCTCTATGCTTCCTATTACCTGTATTTGTTTCTTTTTCTTTGTGGTACCTGGGCTTGACCTCAGAGCCAACTACTTGAACCATGCCTCCAATCTCTTTTGCTTTATTTTTTAGATAGGGTCTGGCCCAGGGCCAGCCTCAGACTACAATCCTACTACCTATGCCTCCTAGTAGCTAGAACCACAGGTGCAGGCTAGCATGCCCAGCTTGTTGGTTGAGACAGAGTCTTTTTTAACTTTTTGTCTAGGCTGGCCTCAAATTGTAATCCTCTCAATCTGCCCCCTGAGGAGCTGGGATTAGAGGCATGGCCATCTTGCTTGGCCTCATCCCTCTCTCTCTTTTAGGCAAATTTTAGTTTATTGCAGCTATGATATATAACCTACTTCTTTTCTCAATTGCCATTTTCATATAATTCCTCAAAGCTTCTACTTTCTGGAATGGTCTTTATTGAAAACGCCACCCAAATCACCCTCAACCTAGTTTTTGCATATACACAAACTTAAAACCTTTGGCCCTTTCAACAAGAAAAGCAAATAAAGGATTTCTCTGTTTTCTGATTAGGGCTCTCTCTTACTGGTTGGTAATTGATGGCAGGATTCATGTTGGGTGTTGTGGTGCGTACAATGCCAGGCTTAGGTGGGCCTCGTTGACCCTGTAGTTGAGCTGGATTTGGTGCAATAACACGTTGAGACATTAACATGTGTGGTAAGGTAGTATTGGTCGCAGAACGGATAACGCTGTGACCCTGAAAGAGAAGAAGAAAAGAACTAGTCACAGGTAGTATAATGCCCATAAAATGCAAAAAGAAAAACATAGTGCACAGCTGAGTAGGCCTACAGGAACAGTCAGACTTAGTAATTTCATCTAATGATCTATGGGAAAAATCTACCATTACTCTAAATGCTGGTCAGTGGCTAGTAAGTCTCTGGCTTTTTTGGTATAAGCTATCTAATCCTATGTGTTTATAGAAAACTATCTATCTAGATAGTGCTCCACCTAGAGAAGCTAGAAACCTTCTCTAGAGAATAAAAACTACAATGGAAAAATAAAGTTTATTCATTTATTGCAAACTAAACCATGCCACAAAGGACCAATAGGACTATCTGGAGTAGTGGCACCTCTATCATGACCATATTCTTCTGTAATCTTCACAGTAGTTTGTACAGATACAATAGATAAGGCCTTCTAAGATCCCATTATGAGTCACATACCTGTAATGTTCTTAAATTTTGAGGTTCAACACCTTGAGCCCCAGGCCGGGAAGGAAGCTTGGATAAGCCCTGCTGTCCCACATGAGCAGGAGATGGTTGAACAATGGATGCTGCATTCTGTACAACTGGAGTCTGGGAGAAGGAAAAGAAAATAAGGCTGTAGAAAAGGTCAGTAAGTCAGAGGTGAACTGTATGGTAATTTCTAAACCTTTAAATTTCCTTGTCAGTGTGAAACTCTTGTTGGTCAAGAAGAAAAACAAGAAAAATAGAATCAAGGATTTCTTGCTTTAACACCTAAGATTAAAAGAAAAAAATGTGGTGATGCATGCCTGGGAAGTGGGCAGGAATATTGCAAGTGTGAGGTTAGCTTGGGCAAAGGTAGCTAGAAGATCCTGTTTCAAAAAAAAATAAAAACAAAAGGCTTGGGGTATAGCTAAAGTGGCAGAGGGCTTGCCTACCATGTATAAGGCCCTGGATTCAATGCCCCAAGTACCAAAAATAAACAAACAATGTAATCAAAGAAAAATGAGCCCCAATGTTGAATCTATCTATAATAGTTCACTCTCACAGATAGTTCTTCTTTCTTTTCTCCTAGTCCCTTATTTCTAGGGCACATTACCTTTTGGACCACATTTTCTTTCTGTAGCTGGCTCTGTCTTAGTTTTTTTAATAGCACCAGTCGGGCTTCTTCCAATCGTAGTTCATCCCTCAGCTGTTTGATGAGCTGCTGCCGTTCCTCAATACCTTTCCCCTAAGGAAACATAGAAATTATCAGCTATAACAGCAGGTACCCAGAATCTCTTCATACAAGAGATATGTATTACTTAGATCTGAAACTTTCATCTTCCGTAAGAAACAGAAGTAGTGATGAGACTGTTATAGTTGTATCCCTGGGGCATGGCACAGTGCTGGCATTCAGAAGATACTAAAAAAAAGTGCTTATAGAATGAAAGGAGAGTATAAATGCTACTCATTTAGATCCTTGACGGAATAGACTGACCAAAGGGAGACACTGTTTTCTTTTAAAATAATGTTTCTGAATCTTTAAAAGTCAATTTGCTGTAGCTGTATGTAAAAACTGAATTGTTTTCATTTTACCAAGAAAGTTACATGGAGTATAATTGCTTATATACATACATTTTCAAACTATCTTCTCTGCTAGTTCCTTCTAAAAGGGCATACCCTTGAAGTTAAGAATCACCATGAAGAATAGTTTTCATCAACAGGTCATTATTTAGATCCAAAAAGAGAAGCAGGACGCTTAGAGAATTAAAGAGAATAGAGGAACATGAAAGGAAGAAATCTTTCTTTTTACCTTAAACATCTCTAGATTGGCTGCTTTAAGTCTTTCTTCCATTCGGGAGCTGGAACGAGGACTGGAAGCCTCATTGTCAGACAAAACAATGATGTCTGGGGAGGGAGTTAGCCTTCCTCGGTCTGGCTCACTAGACAAGAAAAGGAAAAATTATGGTATTTCTAACAGTAAGTGTTCATAAAAAGTTAAGAAAAAGAGAAAGTCAAAAAGTTAAGACAAAATCCTTTTTGCACTGAACAAAGAAATTGAAGAGAACTTTAGGTCTGTTTTTCCATCACACAGGGAAAAAACAGCCACACTCAACCTCTAGGATAAAGAAGATACCAAGATGTAAGTGATGGCAAAACCCCAGTAAAATATTTCCTCATTTAAATTCCTTACAGAAGATGCAAGAACAAAGGTACAAAGTAATGACTGGCTTTAGGAATGAGAGATGAGTGTTTTTATCAGACAGATTATTATTTTTTGTGGTACTGGAGCTTGAACTAAGGGCCTACACATTGAGCCACTCCATCAGCCCTTTTTGTGATGGGTTTTTCAAGATAGGCTCTCACAAACTATTTGCCTGGGCTGGCTTTGAATTTCAATCCTCCTGATCTCTGCCTCCTGAGTAGCTAGGGTTACAGGTGTGAGCCACCAGTGCCCGGTCCAGATTTTAATTCTAAATGTATTTTCCTATATTGCTCCGTTGGATTTGTCCTTAGTTATATGGGGGCTTGTGAAGAAAATGACTAGCTCTACAAGTGAGAAAGGGCAAAAAGCAATAGAGATTAGTCATCCACTCTGGATAATAGCTGTGAAGAGGAAGCTCATTATGACAATAATACTATGGTAATGGCTATCTGAGGATTTATAAGAAAGGAGATTAAGTGACAACTCCAGTAACAGTCTACCCTGTAAAGAACAGATACTGAAAAATAGGCAAAAAGTTCAAACCTGGGCTGAGTGGTGGTAGCTCACGCCTGTAATCCTAGCTACTCAGAAGGCAGAGATCAGGAGAACTGAAGTTAGAAACCAGCCCGGGAAAAGAGTTAGCGAGACCCCATAAAAAAGGACTGGTAGAGTGGCTCAAGAAGTAGAATGCCTGCCTAGCAAGTGTGAGGCCCTGAGTTCAAACCCCAGTACTGCAAAAAAAAAAAACAAGAAAAAAACAAACCAACACAAAAACAAGGCTGGTGGCGTGGCTCAAATGTAGGCAAAAGAAGATAGAGACAGGGGCTTGAGGAAACGGACACTGTCAATTATAAAGTCTACAGCCTTCTGGAGGACTGAACTTCCAGAATGAAAAAGTCACACTGACTTGCCATAGTTTTATGTAACACTTTTCCTCAGAAACACTGTCCAGAAATACTCTGACATCTAAATCTCCCACACTGGCTCCTCTTCCATTCCTATTTATTAGACAACCCTTGTTTTGGTATTTCTAAGGCTATCCTTGTTTCTGAGCAGTGATGAATAATGGCACTCACTGCTTGAGACCTAGATAATGAGAATCCTGGAAACTCTAATTGCCTTAAGGTTCCAAAATCAATGACTCTTATCTTCTACTTCTCCTCTGATTTCAGAGATATCTTCCCAGACTCTACTTTTTGAGACAGTCAGAATAGCTGGGAGTATATAGGTCTAGATCAATGTGTTCTTAGGTCTTATTTAAATGTGTAACTTAAAACCTTAATGCTCTCAGATCATTAGTTGTAAGAAACTATCCACCATTTCTTAAGGTTTTTTGTCTCAGCTGCTTTTGGGACATGCAAATTTTTTGTTTTGTTTTTGGTGCGGAAATCAAATCTAGGACCTTGCACCTGTTAGGCAAGCACTACCACTGAGCTACATCCCCAGTTCAAAGAAACATTTTGAAAAACATTAGTAAAATTAACCAAGTTTAGCTGAGGAAACAGAATAGGGGAACAGAGTGAAGAGAATGACTACCTTGTTAACTATTAAGCTTCCATGGAATGCTCTACAGCCACAGCAAACAGAGAATGTGGTATTACAGAAAAAGAAGCCACTAGAGGGAAGAGCCTTTCATTCCTTAATCCCCCAGATTCCTAGAGTAATGGTCAGGCCTAAATAAATTGCTTGAATTTTTTCCTCTGTGTGTGTGTGATTTATTATCATTTTTGTATTCCTTCCTCCTTCTCACTTTAAGATTAGTTTGAGCGAAAAATTTTGAGGTCGGGAAAATTTCTCATTCTTTCCTTAACTCACCAAAGTTTTGCATCACCAGTGAGAAGTTTTTGGTTTTTTTTTAAGTTCTGGGAGTGGCTCAAGTGGTAGAGAACTTGACTACTAAGTGCAAGGCCCTGAGTTCAAGAATCCCATACAACCAATACCCTCTGCCCTGCTCCCTGCAAAACCCCACTACCACCAAAAAATATAAAAATTCTGGCCCTGGTTGGATATATACATTACAGAAGGCTGTTTCTAAGGTAAAAGTTCTAAAAGTTTTTCTTTGTTCAAATGAGTGTCATCTGCCACTTAGGGATTGCATTTCCAAATATAGATTTTGGAACTGTATGACATCATCAAGAAGTTACAACTGAGAACAACCCTAAACGATATTTTTATTCCCAGATACAATAGATCCACATTACATAGCTATCAAAGCCCAAACCAACTTCTGTTCCCCAATTTTTTTTTTTGCCTGTACTGGGTATTAAACCCATGGCCTTGTGCATGGTAGGCAAATGTTCTACCACTTGAGCTATACACCCAGCCCATTTTGGTTTTATTTGGTTTTTCAGATAGTCTCACTAACTTTGCCTCATACTCAAAAATCTCTTGCCTCTGCTTCCCAGATGATGTGGATTATAGGCATGTATCCCATGCCTGGCCTTCAATTTTTCTTTTTAAACTTTCAACCAAAACAAAACCCACCTTGGAGCTAAGGAGAAAAAGCTGTTAGTATCCCTGGTATTTCCAGCTTTTGAGGGATTGTGTTTCAAAAATTTATTATCATAAAGTAATAAAAAATAAAATGGTATGACTTCAGGACAGTCTTTTTGTTTTTGGGAAGGAGAGGGGTGTGGTACTAGGGATTGAAAATATGGTCCTGTGCATGTTAAGCATGTACTCTACCACCCAGATGCACCCAAGCCTTGCATTCTCTCAACACATATGGTATATGTATGGTATAATTCTAATAGTACTATGATATTATCAGGTATGTAAAATGAAAAATGTACTTAAGAGTTACAATTTGGGCTGGGCACCAGAGGGTCATGCCTGTCTGTATATAATCCTAGCTATTCGGGAGGCAGAGATCAGGAAGATCACAGGTCGAAGCCATCCCAGGCAAATAGTTAGAGAGACTCTCGAAAATACCCAATACAAAACAGGGTTGGCAGAGTGGCTTGAGTGGTTAAAGTGCCTGCCAAGCAACCGTGAAGTCCTGAGTTCAAACACTAGCACTGCAAAAACAAAAACAAAAAATCCAAAGAGTTACAATTTGGGATGAGTGGAATTTACCTAGCATTCCCCTCCTTTTTTTTTTAAGGTTTTAGCAAGAATTTACTTTAGTGTAGCAGGATAAATAGGGAGAAATGGAGGGAGGGAGGATGGAGAAACATACCCTGATCCCCACTAGGAAATGGGATTATTTTATTTTAGGGTAAGAACTAAGACTTTTAGCATTTTAAACATCTGATGGGCTGGCAGAATGGCTCAAATGGCAGAGCACGTGCCTAGCAAGCATGATGTCCTGAGTTCAAGCCCCAGTACCACACACACACACCCTCCAAAACAACATTAACAACAAAAACCACCTATCTAGCTTCATTTGGAGGAAGGTCATCCCAGATGACACAGATACATCTTCTTTCAAGAAGGTTTAGGATGAAAAACACCCTTCTCTCATTGGAATTCATTCCACTTTCATAGACTTAGTTAAAGAGAAGACCGTATCCCTGGAGGCAGCTAAACTAAGCCATACCTCCGTCTAGCACTCATATCCACAGGCTCATCATTGATATTTTCTTTGCCTGGCCTTCCAGCAGTCCTGTTGTCTCCATGAGGCCTAAGATTTCCATTGAGTTTCTCTTCATAACCCTTGACACCACTGCCATCCTGTTTGGTGGGTAACTCATGTGACACCTCAAGATTTGCCAAATCCTTTCTTTTGAGCAATGCCAACATTTTCAGACGTTCCATGGCCTCATGCCCCTCCATTTTGAGTCGTTTTGCCAGGACATCATCTCGTTCATCTGCTGGGTCCAAGCTCCGCTTCAATAGATTCAGGCGAAGAGCATCTTCTGTCATTCTATCCATTCTGTGGAAAGAAAAACACAAATAAGATCAGAATGAAGTCTCTTAAATAGTCCATAGAGAAAGAGAATGGATTGTGTTAAAGTTAGTTATTAAGAATAATCATTCATTCATGCATACATGTATGTATATGTAAACATACATAATTTTCAAAGATTTCTGTAGAATATCTACATTAAAGGTTTTTCTAAAGTTGGCACAGTGGCTGAAGTGGTACAGCTCCTGACTAGCAAGTGTAGCAAGTGGGAGGCCCTGAGTCTAAACCCCAGTTCAACAACAACAACGACAAACCTCCTAAAATAAAAAATATTTTTCCAATCAACCTCAGCAACGAAAATAAATTTCAAACACATTATACTCACCAAGGCCCTCACTGTGAAAGACACTTGAAATCAAACACACCATTCTCATCAGGACCTTTCATTAGGAGCGTACATCTCTCAAAAAAGAAATACTGAATCTGGGTGTGGTGGCAGATGCCTACAATACCTGCACTCAGGAGGCTAAGGGAGAAGGACTGAGTTTGATGTCAGCCTGGCATACAATGTGAGACCCTGTCTCCAAAATTTTTTTTTAAATCAGACAGAGGTGAGGAGGATGGAAGTATAATGGAGGGGATGAACTTGTTCAAGGTACACTGTCTGCATGGTATGGATTTATCACAAGAAATCGCCTCATATTAATGTAAGCTAATTCAAAAATAAAGCAAAAATCAAAAAAAAAAAAAAATCAAAGTGACTGTGCATGCCTACTCAAAATCAGATGCTTCTTTTTTAGCTATCATGCCAAATTCCTCTCCTAGGAAAGGCTCCTCTATGAATGAGAAGTTCCTTAGGTCATCCAAACTTTTTTTTTTTTTTTTTTTTTTTTGCTTTTTTTGTGGATGGAGGGGAGGAGTGTGGTATTGGGGTTTGAACTCAGGGCTTCATGCTTCCTAGCCAGGTGCTCTGCACTTGAGCCATGTCTCCAGTCTTTTTTTGCTCTGGTTATCTTGGAGATAGGGTCTCACTTTTAGCCCAGACTGGCCTAGAACACTATCCTTCTATTTTACCCTTCCCACCACAACTGGGGTGACAGGTGTGCACCACTGCACTCAGCTCTTGGTTGAGATGGGGGGGGTGTCTTACAAACCCTCCACCCTTGGGGCTGTCCTTAAACTGTGATCTCAAGTAGCTAAGAAAACAAGTGTGAGCCACCAGCGCCCAGCACCCATACATATCTTTAATTGCCCTATCTTATGGGGGAGAAAACTGGCTTTTAACAGGAAGCCTCAGTTGTTTAGATCAGAAGGGCTGAGAGTATGGTTCAAGTAGTAGAGTGATTGCCATCAAGTGGAAGGCCCTGCGTTCAAACTCCAATACCACAAAAAAAAAGGGCAAAAAGGGCTTTGTTATATGACCTCAATTCTATATAGATACAGATTCAAAATCTTAAGTTTCAGTTATTTTTTCTTTCTTCTTCTTTTTATTTTTTTTGGCAGCACTGGAGTTTTGAACTTACAGCAAGCACTCAACCACTTGAGACATGCCCCCAGTTCCTTTTTCGTTTGGTATTTTTCCTATAGGGTCTCACATTTATGCCTGGACCATTATCTTCCTTTTATACTTCCCATTTAGCTGGAATGACAGGCGTGTACCACCATGCCCAGCTTTTCATTGGTTGAGATGAGGTCTCTCAAAGTTTTTTTTTTGCCTGGATTGGCCTCCAATTTCCATCCTTTTGGTCTTTGCTTTCCAAATGCTGGGATTAAACATGTGCTCCAACATACTTTGCAACACTAGCTTTTCTTAATGAAGAACTCCCGTGCTTAAGCATGTAAGAATATTCTTTCTACTCACAGTAAAATTATTAAAGGCAAGTTAGCCACCATACCTGTTTTGATTTTTATACTAAGAAAAGTCTAAATGGAAATTTGGATTTTCTCCAGGACTGTTTCCTGATAGAAAATAGCAATAATAAACTTCTTGGTTTATTCTAAAATTCTTTTTAGAATTTTTTTTTTCTTCTTTTTGCAGTACTGGGGTTTTAATTCAGGGCCTTGCACCTGCAGATGTCTCTACCACTTTAGTCACTCCCTCAGCCTCTAAAAAAAACTTTTTGAGTTATAGAAACACAGGTTCTAATGGTTACTTATTTTTAACCAAGTCAAATATGTAGTAAGTTACGTTACCTCTTTAAGTATTAAGTTCATCTACAAAAATGGGGACCTTAAAAGATACTCAATAAAATTTATTTATTTTATTTACTTTTTTTGGCGGTACTGGAGTTTGAACTTGGGGCCTCATGCTTGCTAGGCCACTCTAAAGCCCCAAAATTAAAAAGAAAAAAATTGTTTTTGAACTAGCATAAACAATGTAAAAGGGGTTTCATTTTGCAAATTCCATAAAATTTAATTTCTACACTCTAGGGCCATGAGTCCCATACCAAAGGTATGAGATTTGGGCTCAATAATTTATACTCAAATAATAAGACAGGAAAATGACCAACATTAATTGGTTCTCTTGCAAAGAAACTATATACGTGTTTGAGGCATCTTTCTGTAGTACTGACCAAAATAAGGGCTGATTTCTTTTTCTGGTTATAATGAAAAAGAGTGAATAAAAAGAATTTCTAATAAAAGGAAACATACCTTTTAGAGACCAGAAAAAAAGTTAAAATACAGAACTCTGAATTTTGGGATTATGTTTCTTATTTACTCCCTACCCCCTTCTCTTTTCCTCTTCCCCTCCCATCCTCTGTTTCTTTTTTTTGGGCAGTGCTGGTATAGAATTCCGGGCCTTATACAAGGACTATACCAATGAGCTACATCACTAGCCCCTCCCTCTCTTCTTTAAGGAAAAGCTTTATCAAGACATAATCCTATACAACATTACCCCCCTATTTAAAGTATATAGCTTAGTGGTTTTTAGTATAGTCACAGTTGTGCAACTATCACAACTAATGTTACAATATTTTATCATCCCTGCCCTAAACAATCCATATCAATTAACAATCACTCTCCTTTGCACCCTCCATTCCAGCCTGGGTTAAGCATGAATCTAATTTCTGTCTCAGGACTCTTCATATAAATGAAAACATATAATATCTGGTTTCTTGTAGGTGGCTTCTTTCACTCAGTATTTTGTTTTCAAGTTTCATTCATGTTGACATGTATCAGTACTTCATTTCTGTGTGTGTGTGTGTGTGTGTGTGTGTGTTTCTGGGGATCTACCTCAGGGCCTCACACGTGCTAGGCAAGTATTGTACAACTGGTCTCCAACACCAAAAACCTTCATTTCTTTTGTATGGTTGAAATACACTCCCTTGTATGAACTTACCACATTTTGTTTATCTGTTCATCAACTGATGGACAACTGAGTAGTTTCTACCTTTTGCTATTCCTAGTAATGTTATGAACATTTGTGGGTAAGTTTTGCTTTGGAGATGTTTTCATTCTCTTGGGTATACATACAGGGGAATTGTTGGGGCCTATGGTAACTATCTAATAATCTGAGGAATTACCAGGTTGTTTTTCAAAGTGGCCATACCATTTTTACATTCCTACCAGCAGCATATGAAGGTTCCAACTTCTCCATATCCTCTTACTTCTCTTTCAACAGCTTCAGATGAGACATATTATACATATGTTAACATTCTTTATCCATAGATCCTCCAAAGATCTGTTGTTTTGACATTTCTAACAAATGTCAAAATGAAGTGTGTTACCTAGGAAAAACAGCACTAGATGGGAGTAATGGGCAAGCTGAATGCTAAGGAACACAAAAAGTTAAGCCTTAATTCCAAAATAACAACATCTAGGGTAAATTCAACCAATACTACATATTGAGGATATCACTGAAAACAGCAGCGAGGGCACACTATGCTCCTGTGTGTAGCTGCCCTCTATTATCTCCCCTTTTAATGCCATCATAATAAATCTTTGCTTTTTCCTTAAAAAAAAAAAAAAAAAAAGAAGGAGCATGAGGAATTACATAAGGTGAGAAAAGTGTGACACTCAAATGATTATAGACATAGATGCAGAAAGTATTTTAGAAAAGTACACAGCAAGATATACAAATGTATAATGTTTTAAGTTTTGCTATAAGTTATATTCATGAGCATGGAAAACACTAAAACAGTAAGATCTAGAACAGTTTGGGATGCCATCATTACCTTATACAAACAGCTGAAAGCAGTTCAACTCATTTACCTTTACTAGACTACAATGATGCAGGAAGAAAGCTGATGTATTAGAGGTGGAAAGAAACCAGAACCCAGATATTTCAATGTGTGAGATAAATACTGTTTTCCAAAAGAGGTCTAAAAACCCTGACCAATTTGCTCATACCTATTCTTGTCTTTACTAATCTATAAATCTCAACTTTATGTACTCAGTCATGCCTGTCTCAAAATCCAATGTAACATTAAAAAACCTTGAAAACATTATGCCAAGTATAAGTAAAACAGTTACAGAAGAACACATATTGTATGGTTTCATTTATATGAGGTACCTAGAGACAGAAAGTAGAATAGAGGGTGATAGGTAAGGAATAAGAAGTAATTGTTTAATGGAAACAGAGTCTCTGGGGTAGAAAAAAAAAGTTCTGGAATGGATAGTGGTGATGGCTGCACCACACTGTGAATACACCTAAAGCCATTGAATGGTGTATTTTTAAATAGCTAAAATGATAAATGCTATGATATATATTTTTTTATCACAGTAAAACTGAAGAATAATCCAATATAACAGAGACTGATTATAAATGGGCACAAGCAATCTTTTTTTTTTTTTTTTTTTTTTGCAGTCCTGGGGCTTGAACTCAGGGTCTTCACCTTGAGCCACTCCACCAGCCTTTCTGTGATAGGTATTTTCAAGATAGTATCTCACGAACTATTTGTCTGTGCTGGCTTAGAAACATGATCTTCCTGAGTAGCTAGGATTATAGGTATGAGCTACTGGTGCCTGGCTGGCACAAACAATCTGTTTAGGACAAGGAAAATATACTAAAACTGGATTATGGCGAT